CTAGCTTCGCTTGCGAGAATTTATCGTATTATTATTGGAAATTTCGTGAATTTTATCGACATTTAGCGTGCCAAGGGAATCCTGGCTAATGGTAGCCATTTTGATTACTCAGGATATTTTTTTCTACTGTTTTTGATATTTCTAAATTTAATATTTAATATTAACACTATTTATAACACTTTTTATTTAATATTAACAATAATTAATATTAACACTATTTAATATTACACTATTTATTAACACTATTTATAACACTATTTATTTAATATTAACAATATTTATAACACTATTTATTAACACTATTTATTATTTATTTAATATTAATATTAACACTATTTTTAATATTTAATATTAACACTATTAATTTATTTGTTAACAATAGTTAATTTATTAATTTATTTATTTATTAACATTATTTAATATTAACAATATTTAATATTAACACTATTTAATATTACACTATTTATTAACACTCTTTATTATTTATTTAATATTAATATTAACACTAGTTATTAAACACTGTTTGTTTTCTCGCCAAATTCTCACCATATAGCTGGCGATTATTTGAAATTCGCGCGCAAAATTACTCCTGCGCAAAACAGCTATAATTTTTGAACCATGGGCTACTTTTTATTAAAACCTTTACTATCTTTTTAAAGAATAATTTCTTTATCCAGTTTAAATAACTTGTTTTCCACATACAAAATACATTATTGAAGGTAAAGACTGAAAATTAAGAAAACAAAAACACTTTCTCAAAAATGGAGGATTAAAAAAAATTAGAAATTTAATAACGATTTAAAGTATGATATCTTTTTGAAAGCACTTTCTTTTGTGCAAGGGTTCGTTCCATTTAAAATATATTCGTTAAAACGTTCAACGAGGTTTTAATTTTTCTAAAGTATTATGTGAAATTAGAAAATTTTGTAATTGTGATTGTTCTTATTGAGAAATTTAATTTCTGCAAAGTATGATGGAATACAATTGGCAGAAGATAAGTAAGAAAAAATAATTAATAAATAAATAAAATAAATTCTCCTTTCCAAAATTTATCAATATTTATTAATTAATTAGTTATCAGTTCATAGCTCCAATTATATAGAATTTTTAACGGAACACATTCGTTGTTACAGCCTTTTCCAATCCCTGTCTTAAACAAATTTTCGTTAATTGATCAATTAGACTAACAATGATATCGAAAATAGCAGCTTTAGTGTAACAGGATATTCGTAAAATTTCTAGATATTTTTATAAATTAAATTAAATTCATATCACATTAGACAAAGCAGTTCAAAGAGTCAACTAGGTACAGTGTATCCACACACTGCAAGTTACAATAGTTCCAGTGATAAAATAACGAAAAATTCAATTGGCAGGTAAAACAAATCCATTTTTCCCAAATCGTTAACGTGTCGGAAGATCGGTGAAAAGTCTGAGGATTCCCCTACTGGCGGCCCGGTTTACGCAGTCGAGTCACGGAAGTAGGTCTTGGAAGAGAGGCGACCAATCGTCGCGTTCGCATCGCTTTTACGCGCTCTAGCGGCGGGCGGCCCTAGCCAGGAAGCTGTGGTTCGTTCAACCGGAAGCAACGCTTACGCGGGCACCGGTTGTCGACTTCGTGACCGTCGGCCGACGCGTGATCGACGACACGAGCCTTCGATAACGGCTCGTTAATCGGTGAACGACACGTTCCACGACGTGATCCATTCGATCGAGACACTATCGTCGTAGATCGGCCGACTTAACCCCTAGCACTGTAATGACGAGTCTCTAAGTGAGACACTCGTGTCAAACTGCATAATCAGTTAGCTGTTTTTGACGAGTATACTCGTCGTGAAGCTATGACAATATTTTGTATTACGACGAGTATACTCGTCATGAAGCCATTGCAATGTTTTGTAGAAAATAGGATTTTACATACCTATTTGCATATCATTATTATATCACTTCAAGTATTATCATTTTTCTGTAATATTTAATTTAATGCATGTAGATAACAAAAATATTTATTACTAATTTTGTTAATTCGTACAAATTATGTTCCCCTTTTCTATAAAGTATATACTGCACACAAATTTCTAACCTATATTATTCTTTACTTAATGTTTATTATTATTTTCTATATATAGATACAATATTGCAAAATTTCATTAATCTCCATCTATTATAGGTTCTATAACTAATGATTCTAACCCCAAAGAAGGATATAAATAAATTAACAGTTAGTTTGAAAACAAAATTTATTATCATATCATATCATATCATTATCATATCACCCTAAGTATTATCATTTTTCTGTAATATTTAATTTAATGCATGTAGAAAACAAAAATATTTATTACCAATTTTGTCAATTTGTACAAATTATATCCCCCTTTTCTGTAAAATATATACTGTACACAAATTTCTAACCTATATTACTCTATTCGTACAAATTATATTCCTCTTTTCTATGAAATATACACTGTATACAAATTTCTAACCTATATTACTCTTTATTTAATGTTCATTATCATTTTCTATATATAGACACGATATCGCAAAATTTCATTAATCTCCATTTATTATAGGTTGGTGATTCTAACCTCAAAGAAGGAAGTAAATAAATTAACAGTTAGTTTGAAAACAAAATTTATTATCATATCATATAAATTTTGTCAATTCGTACAAATTATATTCCTCTTTTCTATAAAATATATACTCTATACAAATTTCTAACCTATATTACTCTTTATTTAATGTTCATTATCATTTTGTATATATAGACATGATATCGTAAAATTTCATTAATCTGCATCTATTATAGATTGGTGATTCTAACCTCAAAGGAGGAAATGAATAAATTAACAGTTAGTTTGAAAACAAAATTTGTGTCGGAAATGTGTCTCTTCCTGTTCAGAGTTTTTATTTTCACCACCGTGGTCGATGGATTTACACCGTTGAAATCAATTAGTTTCGACGTTAGCGTCACGTTGCTTGCCCGATCCTAGGAATTTGGTTTTACCGACGGAGGCGATTCTGCGCAGCGCGGTGCATTAGAGAAAGAGCCGTGATTCCCCACGCAATAAAGATGATGTGGACTCAGTCGATGTCGGATTTAATTACGCGTAACTTTGCGGTTTTTACGATCGTTAATGAGTAGTCGCAATTAGACGTAATTATGCCGTGGTCTTTCGTGTATAGGCTGGGGCATAGTGACTCGAGCGAAAGCGCAATTAGTAGCTCGGAATGTGTATACAAGACTGTGTTTATTATACTCTTATATCTCTATTCTTGTGTTCTGTGTTTCACATATTTGTATGTGAAGGTTTTGCCTCTCATTTTTTGTGCACCGTTATATTTTGTTTACAGTCTTGTCACCGACTTCTTTATTGAATTTTCACAGATTTATTTATTTCGCTTTCTTTTTCCATTTTTTAGTTTCAGGATGAAATATCGATGAGCTATCAGTTAGATATAGATATCGAGTTCGAGTTTTGAAAATTAATCAGCTGTTTTATTAACATATCTATATAATAATTATAATTCATTTGAATAAAAAATAATATTAGCTTAACAAGTATAAAAATAAAAATCTGAAGTAAGTTATTTTGACCATATATATTTTTTTTAAATATTTAATGATTTTAATATCATTTTAAAATTGTCATTATTATTAGTTTAAGAATGATAAATTTTTTTTGTGTTGAAAATTAATTAACTGTTTCATTAGGTTTCTGTATAATTCTTTTTTTATGGTTCAAGAATAATATTTTTATAAAATTGGAATTAAATATTGGTGCATTAAGAATTGATGAGGTGATTTATCAAGTATTTGCATTTAAAAATTTCATTTTTAGTATGTAAATTTAAAAACGATATTGTTATGAGATATGCATCAGATATTTGCGTGTTTAATTAAATTAACGAGCTGTATTTATTCAGTGTTCGCACTTTGTACAATTTTCTAAATTATCTTAACAAGTGTGAATTAATTGACGTTAAAAAGTTTGTTCCTTCCAGTTTTAATTTTAATATCTTGAAAGTTGCATCTTCTCCTCTTGATAATACATGCATTCATTGTATATGAGATTCTCATTCTAATTAATAAAAAATTATAAAAAGAATTTGGAGAATCACTAAAAGTATCCAAGTCCTTGAGAACACAAGTACACTTAATGCTTTTGTAATTAACGTACAATATTTAATTAATCTACTATTATTAATTAGAAATTTATTCATTAGTGTGATTTCAAAAAATGAGAAACTCTAATTCACATCTGTCATTTTCAAGATTTTAACGACCAAAACACCAATTTCTTGTCTCCAATGTTTAAAAGATGAAAACCATTCTTCATTTTCCACATTCTGTCTTCACTGTTTGAAAAATAAAACACCAAAATAAAATCAAAACACCAATATTCTAAAAGAAAAAATATGAATTTACCATTTTCATAATTAATATATCAAATTAGATCAGTCTTCTACAATCTCGAATCTTATCAATTTTCTCATTCGTGTTTGAAATGCCAAAATTTTAGTGTTTTCAAAAAATGAAAAATGTTTGAACGACCAAAACACCAATTTCTCGTTTTCAGTGTGTAAAAAATGAAAACCATTCTTCATTTTCCACATTCTGTCTTCACTATTTAGAAAATAATAGTCCCAAATTCTCGTCCTTCATTTTTAACAGTTGATACGTGAAAACACCAATATTTGAAAATGTAAAATATCAATTCGCCATTTTCATAAATAATATATCAATATAAATCACATTCCCGTTGCCAGTCCTAGGATAGAAGTAAATTTTCCCCAAAAACAAGCTCTGTTGTTTGCCAAACACCAAAATACCTTCGAATTTCGATCCTGGAGTCCCCGTAGTCCCGGAAAGTAGGTTTAGGCCGGAGGATCGTCTCGCTTTTACTCTCTCGATACCCTAGTCAATTAGAGTCACGCATCCTGCAGAGACCTCTCCCGCCAGCTCGTTGATCGTTTCGTATTTGTTACCGATTTCTCGGAAGACGAGAGGCTGGACGGCAGCGGGAGCGAGTGCAATTCCGTGGTGCCGAAGAAGCGACGTCGCAAGCACACTAGCGCCACTGACAGAGAACACCAGGTGACGTTCGACGACTATCCGCCATCGCCCAGGTCATCCAGATCGTCAGCTTCTTCCAGATCCAGCTCTCTATTGCAGTTCGAGTCCCTGGAGAGGACCTGTGCCACACTGTCGCCATCTAGCTACAGCTTCGACTCCTTGGAGTATCCGAATAGGTCCAATACGTCTCATCCTGAGAACACGTCGCCTGACAGCCTCGAGCAGGACTATGAGAAGACCCTGCCCAACGGATTTGCCAACGCTGCGGATCATTTCTCGAGGATCAGACCCTATCGCAGCTTCGAGAGCTTGGATACGTGTCAGAAGGAGGAGGAGTTCGGCCATGGTGGTTTGACCAATGGATTCACACCCTTGTACCTGAAACGAAACGCGGAGCTGTCCAGAACACGTACAAACGGATACCATCGTCCTAGGTAACGTTCATTTTCTGTACTTTCTTTTGATAAAGTGGACTGCCACTTTGGGTGCTGTGCTATCTTTTCGTTTTAGTTTCACGTAGAATGACAAGTGTTTTCTAGAATAAAACTAGTGATTTGTTAAGTCTAGGTTAGGTCTAGGTATAGGCTTGGAACTAGATTTGGAACTATGGAAGCTTTATTATTATTACTAGCTTCTTATGTATCATTTCTTTTTATAATGGTTCGGTGATATTTTTTATTATTAGTACTGATTATTATTATTATTATTATTATTATTATTATTATTGTTATTTATTATTATTATTATTGTTATTTATTATTATTAGCTCTTGTGTATCATTTCTTTTTATAATGATTCGGTGATATTTGTTAGTTGAAGTAAATATATATTGTAAATATATAGGTGTAATTATATTCTTGTTTCAGTAAAGTTTGATCTTTTAGATATTAATATTTTTGGAAAAAGAATTTCTAATGAAAATTCTGAAATTAATCATTTTGAATTCTACAGATAAATTCTTTGTCTGCACCAAAATGAAATGAATGATATAATGTAATGACAGTTTTATTTTTTACTAAGATTGGAATTTTTTATTTTCAAAAATTTCGAAATTAAAATCACAGTTAGGTTCGTAGATAAATTTTTGAAAAATTGTTGAAAAGTACGAAGATAGGATTTTTAACTGCGACATCATTTTTTTTCAAGGAAATACTTGAGATAGTATTTGTAAAAATATTTCCTTCTCGTCATGAAATTTAATGTTCTCATTAAGTGTAAGTGTAATTTACACTTAGCACTATTACTTGTCATTTGTTCAAAGCTTATATTAAACTGGCTTATACCACTCACTATAGCGATCTGTGTGCAATTATCTCAAATGCAAGTTCAAAGGCGTAGACTATATTCATTTGCACACACATATATTCGCTTTAACCATAGTTAACCACGCTATATTTTAGCATTTGATTGATAATTGTTACCATTCACGGACATGTACAGTCCCACGCAAAACTCTTGCAACAGTTTAATCCTCGAGTTTTTAACGTAAGAAATACACGCATTCGACTTGAATTTACGAAATGACATTACGTTTGAAGCAAAATAGAAAAAGATTGAGAATATTTAAATTAAATTCGAAAAAGTGTCACGAATTTTAAAAAATTCATGCAGAAAATTGTATTATATGTGTGCATGCATTTTTATGCGGATGTCAAAAAATATTCAAATGCCTGAATTATTTGAATTCGAATCTAAATTTGAATTTTGTATGATTATCGAATTATCGATTTTCTGAATTTTGAACTATCGAATCAGCGTATTTTTGATTTTTTGAATCATCGAATTATGGAATTATTGAATTATTGAATAAAAAATTTCGAATTTTGAGTTATTATATTAATACTTAGACCTTTTTTCACTATTAATTACAATGCTTGTGACTTCTACTTCAACATAACCAAAAATTTTTGTCGACGTATTTCTATCCAATGTTTCCCTAATTTTTTATTATTGTTAAAATTTTTTTAAATTTTTTCTACTCATTTCCAAGGCTTGCGCGTTACATCAGATATAGTATAATTTTTGAGAATTCAAATTCAACGAGTGTGCCTAATTTTTATTGACGAAAATTAAACAGAAACGTTCGAGCAGTTTTGCAAGTGACTGTACAGGTGTGCATAGGAGAGTTTATTCTCAAATAAAAGAGCACTGTTTCTTTATAGCGTTTATTTTCCGTTTATAGACAAGTATCATCATCAAAAAAAAAAAAGAAAACGAACGTAGTATGAGTATTTTATTTTATTAATGTTAATTCCAATTTTTCTCTGTCGCTATGAATTCTCCAAATTTTAAATATTCACAGTATTGTCTATTTTTCCTATTTCCATAACACTCTTATCGTTCTCTAGATAGTAAACCATCGCTCGTTTCGTTTTAACAGTTATTATCACGCATTCCCTCTGGGTCCAATTACACACGAGATGTTAACGCACGTAATGCCTGTTTCGTACTATGCTATTGGATGATAAAATATCTAGTCGATAAAATATTCGAATAGCTATCCAGATAATACGGGTTCCACTATATTTTACACGTTTTATAATAATCACGTGGTCATAAATTTATTAAGATTTACCACAGAATATAGTTTGTTAGAACAATATAATAATTTCGTAAATTATCGTATCGAAACGTGGCTCCCATTGATACCACATTACACCGTCTATGGCGCCACTGTCGACGTACACCCAGAGCCATCTGTAATTCAAAGATCTAGGTATTTAACGCCAAACAATAGAAGGAAAAAGATTGTTCGGAAAGTTGAAACTGTTTCGTTAATAGTTCAATTTACGATGATATTATCATCATTTTTATGGGCAGAATGATTCAGAAAAATGATTTATATTAAGAAATTGTATACCTGTATAAGAAGAAAATATGCAGTTGCATTTCTCAAGTTCACCAATACATAAGAATGCACGATAGTGGTACAAAAATGTAAGATATATAACACTATTTACTTCTGCTAGTTGCAATGCTCCTATATATAGGGTGTTCTTTTTTTACACGTTCGCAATTTCACACGTAGTAATATCTCTGTTATTTCTGACGATGCGAAACAATGTGTCGGAGAAAAGTTGCACGGTTTCACTAGAGGAATATAACAGTGGGACAAAATTTTTCCCCTAGGCCATAGAAGTTGAAATTTTTAGATAAATTGTTAATTAATTAAGTTTAATTAATTACTTAATTAACAAGTTTTGAAATAGAACTATATATTTCCGTCAATGTAATATCGTATCTGCCAATAAATCGAATTCGTGCATATGTTATACCGTGACCTTTAGGTGACCTTGGATGACAAAAATCACGTAAAACAAGAGAAACATAATTTTTTCCTAATCTGCCGCTTCTTTATCGTTAATGAACTCCAAAATTTCGACACGGAGTTATATTGTATCAGGAATACAGTATACACCTCCGTTCTCTTGAGACACCCTGTATATTATTCGAAGCAACGTTTCGTGATATTTGACCAGGATAATTTTGAAAAGTGCATCACGTGCCCCACCATAGCAAATGCAATGGCCAGAACATGTACGGCAGTGCCCGCTTAACTGTCGCGCGTCTCGCCCGCTTAACTGTCACGCGCTCACCCCCACCAATTCCCGCAACTTCTTCGGCTACACTCCTCTCTCTCACTCTCTCTGCTTTCAAGAAAGACGCGAGACATACGCACGCCCGAATAACTGTCGCGTCGCGCGCCGGGCGTGCGACAGTTAAGCGGGCAACGCTGCGGTTATTTCCGACGGTTTAATCATTGGGAATTACGATTCTCGCGGAACTTTCGCGCGCGTTCGAAATGTTACGCGACAGATAAACATTTCGCGATTGTCCGAGCGGAGGTCATAGGATTTCCTTGGCAACGGCTCCCGGTCTCGAGAGCTTGCTACATGACCCTCGTTTTCTGGCCAAGTTACCGCAATCACGACCCTGAATAGACCTCCTTGACTTTTACTTTTAATTCGGGGAACGTCCGAAATTACGCGCGCCAATGTCTCATCCTGATTGCCCTATCGTCGCGCTCCCCGGGGACACTTGTTTTTCGTAGAATTAATCCAACTAAATTAATCCAATTCCGTCGATGCTTCAGCTATGTGTCTTGTTCTGGTGTATATATGTTGTTATCTCTTTTTCCTTTTTGGCTGACGAGAGCCTGTCGAAAGCTTGTTTAACAGAGATTTTCACGCGGAAGTTGCTGATTTCAGCTTTTTATCATATCGTGTGATTTAATTGTGAATTTTAATATTGCGTTGGGTAAAGAATAACGTATCATTGGGTTTGCAGCAGAAAAAGTTTTATTATATAATATTTTTATATATAATATTGATAGTTTTATTATATAATATTGATTTTTTAGTAGATTATAAATAATTCCAATTATTCCAAATGGTATGGAATATTTAATAAATAAATAATTGCAATTATTTCAAATGGTAGCAAATATTTAATAAATAAATAATTCTAATTATTTCTAGTGACTTTTAATATTTAATAAATAATTTCAATTATTTCTAGTGGCATCATATATTTGACAAATAATAAATAACTTCAATTATTCCAATTGGCAACAAATATTTAATAAATAATAAATAATTCCAATTAGGAGGAATTTTTTACACTTAAAGTGGGACACTATTTATTGCAAAAATCCAACGGTACTCGTTGGTTAAATTAATATATATATGTATGAATCTTATGTTATTTATTATCGATTTAATTTTGAATTTCGATATTATGTTAGGTAAAAAGTAACATATTATTGGGTTTGCAGCAGAAAAAGTTTAATTAAATAATATATTGATTTTTTAGTAGATTATAAATAATTACAATTATTCCAAATGGTATCGAATATTTAATAAATAAATAATTCTAATTATTTCTAGTGGCATCAAATATATAATAAATAATAAATAATTCCAATTATTCTAAGTGGCATCAAATATTTAATAAGTAATAAATAATTCCAATTAGAAGGAATTTTTTATAGCAAAAATGGGACACTATTTATTGCAAAAATACAACGATACTAATTGATCAAATTAATGTAATATGAATTTTATGTTATTTATTTATCGCTGTAGATATTGTATTTTGTATTGTATTTTGTTACACCACAAATGATTTATTGGTAGCGATTATCGATCTACAGTTGTTGAAGAAGAAAACGAAGCGCTAATTAGGTACTTGTTATAAATAATGGAAATTATAGGTAATAGAATATGTATGCGAATATATTATCCAAACCTAACTGTTGCCAAGATTCATAAAAATATATCAATTATTTCCCAAGCACACACTTGCAATAATTGCTAATAGAAATACATAACCACGTTGCAATTAATCATAGAAATAACAGCATATAAGCACTTAAATTAAGTATGAATTTTTTTCATGAAATTCTACTATTCATGACACGAAAGAAAGACTCGACATTGGGCCTCCATAAATAGTAATTAAAAAAAGAAATAAAAAATTTCAAAAATTCCTTCATCTATTCCTCAAATATATACTTTCGATACCTAACAAATTGTCAGCCATGGAAATATATAATTCTATAGGAAAAAAATATTTAATAATATCTCCACCATAAATAACAATTAAAAGGAAATTTAAAAAATCTTTCCAAATCTTCTCAATTCCAATAATTATGACAGTTCACACAGCTATTTATACTAAACCTAAAATACTCATGGTTAACCATATGAAAAAATAAATTTCCATGGGATTCAGGGACTTTTGGCACAGTTTCAAAAATTCTTCTAACTGCTTTTCTAGCATACACTTACACTATCTAACAAATTATCAATGACAAAAATATATAATTCCATAGAAAATAAGAGCTCGATTTCAAAACCCCCATAAAAAAATCTCCAAAATTTCTAAAATTCCTGTACAACTCCAATAACCACGAAAGTTCACACAGCTACTTATACTAAACCTAAAATACTCATGGTTAACCATATGAAAGAATTAATTTCTATGGGATTCAGGGATTTTTGGCACCAATTTCAAAAATTCTTCCAACTGCTTTTCTAGCATACTCTTATTCTATCTAACAAATTGCCAATGACAAAAATATATAATTCTATAGAAAAAGAAACTCGATATCAAATCCCCCATAAAAAATCCCCAAAATTTCTAAAATTCCTCTGCAACTCCAATAACCACGAAAGTTCACACAGCTACTTATACTAAACCTAAAATACTCATGGTTAAACATATGAAAAAATAAATTTCCATGGGATTCAGGGACTTTTGGCACGACGACGACGAGTACGAGGACGACGATGGCGACGACGACCTCGACGACGAGGATCACATACTGAACGATAGTCGAGCGAGCACGGAGCTCGACGACCGACTGATGGTGTTCGGAGACACGGCGTGCAACTACGCGACGTCGCTGGACTACCGAAACACCATAGACCTACGAGAGATTGGCGTGGAGTCGAAGAGGGACGCGCTGTTGGACCTAAAGTCTGGCCAGGCGGCCGTGTCGGGTTCGTTTCGTCTGCTGCAGACCAGGTTAAATATAGCCGGCAGTATGGCGCACGGTCGCAACAATATGGTCGCCGATCATCATCATCATCATCATTACCACCATCATCAGCCGCAGCAGCAGCTCCACGAGCAGCACCAGCGTCAAGGGTGGAGCAACGAGGACTGCTTTAATTTTAGATTCACGGATAAATCTCAAAGCGCGCCCAGTCTGCCTAGCAGCGTCACCGAGTCAGCACACGGTCCACGCTCGTTGGCCGCTTACGCTTCCTCCTCAAGGGCGACCTCCTTCGTCTCCACATCGAATCTCTTCGAGAACTACACCAGAGTAGCCAGCGTGCCCGTCGACCTGAACCTCTGCGGCGTGCAAGATGATACGCGCTGCTCTAGAGTGAGCCTTCATTACGATCATCGCGAAATGGCGGAAGTGACCAGTGTCCAGGAGAAAAAGCGATTGGACAGTGCTGAGAAAGTTGAGCAAGCGAGTATCGACGAGGACCAGGCAAAGAGGTCGTTGACGAGTTCAGTTAGGACTCAGGCGTCTCAGAACACGATGGTGGACGGCAAGATGGACCGCGAGAGAGCGGAAGAGGCTGATAGAGAAGACGAGGAGTGCGTGGACGAGCACTGTGCTAAGCCACGAGAGAAGAAGCAAGTGACCTCCACGGTGAAGACTCAGGATCGGGGTAACTGCGTGCTGGACATGGCTATCGCGATGGAGAACGACATCGACGGTTCAGTGGACGACGCCATTAAGCAGTTCAAGCGCGAGGTCGAGGAGGCTACCTCGAAGGACGGGATCCAGAGGACCCCTTCCGGGAAACAGCGACCGTGGAAGGTGAAGAACAACGCTAGTTACGAGCTGGCTCAGCAGTTCGAGGTGGACGAGAGAAATTTCTGGGTAAACAAGTACGGCAAGGATATCGGTGCTGGCGATGGTGAGAAGTCGCTGAAGAGTGTGTCCAGTGGACGTAAGCGAGTGTTGAACAACGCCAGCTACGAGCTGGCCCAACAGTGCGACTACATCAAGGCCGTCCAGTCCTCCAGAGGTGCTTTCCAGAGGATGGACGCGTGCGACGAGCTGGAGGAGTCAGGCTCTGGTCGATCCTCGCAGCTCAGGGTCTCAGACTTGGTGCAACAGATGAGCAGTAATTCCACGTCGAATCTGAGCAGCTATCAGCACAGCGAGCCCTACGTGGACACCAAGCGATACTCCAAATCCACGGGAAATATCTCCACCCAGTTCTCCATGGCTCCCTTTACCAGGATCCCCATCAATCAGCTTGGTCAACGTTTGAAGAAGCAACAGGAAGAAACGCTGTTGAGCCAGATAAAAAAAAACTCGGATCCATTTTCAGCCTATGGAGACGATGCTAGTAGCCATGCCTTAGTAGACGACGAGATAGATTTACCCTGCTTGGAAACCAAACCCATAGGAACTTCCAGCCCCGAGGGGTGCGTAGCGCGCGAGCAAACGAGCGCCCAAGAGCCTCAGGAGCTATCCCTGGATCACGAAAACGTGGCGTCGAACGCTTCACACAGGACCGCGACACCTGACGCGGCATCGAGGGACACCGAACAGGACGCGGTGGACGAGACGAGCTGTTCGAAGAAGTCGTTCATCGGTGACTTCTACCCGGAAAAAATAGTGCGGTTGCAGCAACAGGATGATCAGCCGGCGGATCATCGACCGGCAATGGCGGACAGGACGCTGGAACTCGAGGGCGACGGAAGTAAAAACGAAAGTTGTTCGTTGACTGCGGTATCAGCGTCGTCGTGCAACGGTAGAAACGGCGGAGAACTGTTATGGAGGGTCATAGTGGAAAAGCAGACCGCGGAGAAGGAGGCTTCACTGGAAAAGGTTAGAAAGAAGACGGAGACAGAGGCGAAGGAGAGAGAGACGGGGAAGCAAGAGCAGCGGCAGCAGCCGAAGCTGGAGACGAAGGAGAGAGAGAAAGAAGAGAAGGAGAAGGAGGCAACGGAAGCAGCGAGGGGACACACTGTCCACGGTGTTCGTTCCCCCCCACTCGGCAGTAGCAGCAATAGCGACGGCCTGGAACCAAGTGAACGGAGTGGGAATCCAGCAGTGGCCGTGGCAGTTGATACGAATCATCGCGGTGATCGCGACAAACGTCACGAGGAGAACGCGGCGGAAACAACTGCGGTGGCCAGGGTAGACGACAAGCACGACGGCCACGCGACTATGTCGGCCACGACGACCACGACGAAAACACGGCCGTTCGTCGCGCCACCAATCGCCAAGAACGACACTTCCGCGGCGAGATTTCAACGAAACATGGTCGTCGACGCGTCGTCCGCGGCAACGGTGAAGGAAGAGAGGAAAAAGGGTGGTCTCGGTGGATTTCTACAGCGATTCTCGAGACTCCGGTTCAGTGGTAGATCGAAAGTGCCGCGGTCCGAGGTGCAGAAAAAGAGTGATACGATCGGCCAAGTGAATCGCGCCAAGGTGACAGAGGAAAAGATTAAAAAGGAGCCGGACTATATCATCATTCCGTTGCACCCTCCGGACGAGGAGAAACAGAAGCAGGAACAGAATGTAGCTTTGGAGAGCAGAACGGACACTGGGAACGGCAGAACTGTTGCCGAAGTTCAACGGAGTTCCTCCAGTATTAGGTGAGTGTTAATTTTATTCGAATAAACTTCTTGATCTCTGTGATCCATTCATTTCGACGAATTGACCGTTCTATTATTTCGTCGTGAGAATATTCATTGTTTCGCGTTCTGTTTCCCTTCCGTTTGCACTGAGTGTCGCGTCGATCGCGTTGACTTTGACCTCAGCGATTGTTTACACGGTTTCGCGCGGGCATATAGAAGCAGCAGTGAATCACGGTTTGTGCCGCCTTCTATGGCTTCCACGCGTAAACATTTATCTTTCCGCCGGCGGAAAATGTGTCGGTACCATTTCGAATTCTAACTGTCGTTTATTTAACGTTCCTGGTACATCCTACGAAGAGACGACGAACAAATGTTGCGAAGATATTCGCATCCGTGAAACAATAAACTTCGGTACGCGAAACGTGTTCGTGGTCTGTAATCTAACCTCGAATGCAAAATCGTGCAGACGTTGCTCGAAAGCCTATAACGTAATATGTGTTACATAATTAGCCGATTATGAAAGAATCTAACGTATACGTGTCCATGTACGTCTGCTTTCGATCGTGTTATGCTTACTGTCTTGCCGTCAGTGGGCAACTTTGCGTATATCAGTGTTGTCTTACACGGTTCGAACACGTTGCTTTTTAGTACGATCGCGAGTCGACGGGCACGGTAGAGGGCGTGAATTTGCTGCATGTTCTCTTCGCACTGATTCGATGCTATGTTCAGAGTAGTATAATGTATTTCAATTTTATCTCGATGTCTGTGTAATTAAAGGAAGTACGTGATGTTAAAATTGAGATTAGGATGGATTTTACTAGATGAATATATTATATGATTTGACAAATTATTTAATGGAGGAGAGAGAGTACTCGGGAAAGCTAACGATAGAGAAATTGATGACGACAGTAAATATGAATTCGAGTGAATGGGAATGACTAGAAATACTTTGATGCTCAGATTTATTATTATTATTGTTGCTATACAGTATAAATATTATTAAAACGAGAAAATATTTTCTCATATTATTAAATAATTGTTATTAAATAAATTAGCGACATTTCTAATGTTAAAATTACATTGATATAATAGAGCACATCTCACTGATTTCAATAATTTTTTGATATGTTGTAGGAATCAGTTTGAAAACTTCTTCTCGTTATTTTCAAAAGACTTTTATTACTATAACATTGAATTCAGCCCATTAGTCAATATTTTTATTTTATTATCAGATGTCTTGGTACCAGAGATACTATCATATAGGTACACTTCTCAACATACAAATTCATAAAAATACATAAAAATTCCTTAAGACTGCTTCTCAAACGTTTATATACTACCTTCTAGATAACTTTTTGCGCTCAGTCAATTAAATTCGTTCTTTTACCTCTCAATTAAATTTCACGAAAAATATTTTTCTAATTTTTACAAATAGCTCACGAATTCGTTTCCGTGTTACTTTTCTCTACTAAGCAAGCAACAGCAACGAGGTCAGCGATACCGGCGAGTAGGCTTTCGTAATGGCGACCAGAGTCGACGAACAGCTGCCAGGGTATCGCGCTCTTCCACCCACTCTTCCCGATCGTTCATTCGGTTTGATTTCAGCGGTGTTTGATTGCGACGGTATCCCACATCGGAACGCATAAATTTCTGGGCCAATTACGAGCCGTTTATCGGCTACTTTTCCCGGCGATTCGTGCCGCGTCTAATTCCTCTTCCTAATCAGGCTTCTCATCCGATCGATTGGATTTCACTCTCGTTCGCGCGTGCATTCCGATCATCGGCCTCCTACGATTCCTTGCTTTCCGCTAGGAGCGCGCGCGCGTACAGAGGAACCAGTTCGCCTCTCTTAATTGAATTTCACTCTCACCCTATTCCGTGTCGTTTTGACGTAATTCGACCTAATTGCATTCTGTAGCGGCAAACGGCGTCGTTTAACCTTTATCGTATCCCTCTTCTTCTAACGAAGCGTTTCCCTCCTGGAAACTCGATCGAGGATCAGTGCGTCCGGAGATCGGAACGTCGTGACGGTTTAGGGGACGCTACAGCGGGGTGCTAGGGAAATACGGACATTCTGTGACGCGTTCTAACCATAGCTGCCGAGATTGAATTCAGATAATTATTGAATCTTTTTTTGCATAAATCGATTGGAAATTTTGAAATTGTTTTAATTGAGGGGTTTCGTAGGTTTTTAGTAAGAATTTGACTAATGTTTTGTGGTTGGAAATGAGAAAAAAATAAATGTGTAGAGGTTATAATTCTGTCGATGTCGTTGTGAGGGGGTAAACTAGATTTATTATCTATATTTATTTTGTAATGATAATTTGAATTAACATGGCAATATTATAGTTTATTTATTAGTATATTTTATTAGTATATATTATTATTTTATTAGTATATATTTAATAATATGTTGTTGTGTTTATATTAGTAAAGGTGATATCAGGAATATTTTCCATATTTCTTATTTTTGGTATAAGTTTTTGACAGAGTATTTTGATTTTTAAATTTCTCAAGGCCTGTATACAATAATATGTTTAATTTTATTTATTCGTTTTATAATTTGAACTTTATAGTTCAGAATTTACTTAAGCTTTACTTTTACAGTTAATTTTACATTTAAAGATGATTGTAGCCGATTAAACTAGAATATATTATTCAATTAAAATCGGCAACAAGAATGTTGAAAGAAATTTATTTATTTTTGAGAGCTATGAACAGTTGCATTTAATTAAACATTTCTCTTTTCACTGAAGGTATTTGGGAAAGCTATAGTTTATTTTAGTGCATAGTTGAGATATACTCGCACCCATAAATCTGCATTATTATAATTGATTTATGGTATAGGCACACTTATATTAAACCGAAACATGTGAACCATTCATATAATAAAAGGAAATTAAATTAATTTATGTTTCAATGGTCTAATTAGAAATCTAGCTCAATGAACATTTTGTTATAAAGTGGCAGATGTAGGTGACTTAAAAATAGGGGCTGCATTTCTTCAGATTGGTGTATACACTTGAAACTCTCAGGACTTTCTCTTATTTTTCTACAACAATTCTGCTATTTGTTATTTTAATTCTTGTTCCATGTGAAATAGCACATTGTACAATGCAGGCTTTAAATGTTCCTAGAAATAGAAATCTAAAGAATTAAAGACTAAAGAAATAGGCAGCATTTCACTGAATGAAACCTCTTATAATATACAATACCTATAATAATCCCTTTCTAAAAATTATTGTGGCATGAAACTTATACTACAAATTTTTTTATACAAATTATACTACCCTCATATTCACAAACACTGCATAAAAATAATATTACATACACAATAAGTATCATAACTAGTTCTTCAAGTTTGGTACAATATTTATACTACCTAAAAAAAAAAAAAAAAATTAACACTTTATACACCAAATTTAATTTACTTAGTAAAAAATTAATTGAATTTAAATTCTAATTAAATTTAGCTTCCATTATAAAGTTTTAAAATTAGAAATTAATAACTTCTATATCTATATGTATATATATTGTCTCATAGTCAACATAGTGATATTTTTAAAGTGATCAGTAAATAAAATAGAGTTGGAGAATATAGATATAGAGTTTAAAGAAGATTGAAAGATACGACAATTATTTGTAGAATCGTGTACTTTTGAAGGGGTGTCTACAAAGTTTTAAAAATATGGGTTCGATAAGATTAGAGACAGACTCTGAGTCATTTGGACTTGATTAAGTCATAACGTATTTATGTTTGGAAGCAGGCAGTGTTTGCTGAGTCTGTTGCTGCCCGATGACTGTACAGAGGCATAATATCCGTGCGAATATTAGGTTTATTGTTATAGAACATGTCATAAAGTCACGAGTCTTTCGCTTTATGGAATGGGGACGTTTGGCGTCAGAGACTATGAAGAGCATAGAAATAGTATTTTGGAATATATGCAAAATGTAGGAAATAGAAATTGTCTTGAAGAAACGAGAATAAACTTTTATTTTTAAGGAAGTTAATTAAAAAAGTCAGAAAAATTATAAAAACATTACAACAAATGAGACGAATTCTAAAATTGTAAAATATAAAAATTAATTAATTTATCAATTGTATTAATTAATGCATTAATATACTCTACATGATAGAATATATAACATATAGTATGTTGATAATATGTAATATAATTTATATCATATTACATTAATTTTAATTATTAAATGATGCTAAAATATTAATAACTTCATAAAAATGTCTCAAAGTAATTCATAAATTGTTAGTAGAGATACTACAATGTTTCCTTGTTATTTATATAAAAATACTAGGGAAGAGTATTGCCACCATTTTGTATAACAGAGTTCAAAGACTTTAAAAAAATTTTTAAATATCTTCAGAAATTCTTTTGCAGACTGTTCGTAGTCAAATGAAAAAATATTTTGTCGTGGAGAAAGATATATTGGTACTTGTAAAAGTGTGGGTAGTTCGTTGAAGTGAATAGCATATTTCTCTGAGCCATAGTTATTTATCTTTGAAACACTTCTGTAAATACAAAGGTCTCAACAGTGGAGGCGAATAAAGAAAACAAGAGATTTTTAATCTGTATTACAGATTAAGATATTTATGTGCAAAGTTTTGTTTTTGAAGTTGTTTGGTTGATTCACTAGACTGGAGAACAAGCCGCCATTTTGGGTATTTAAGATAATTCCAAACATAAAGATAAAATATCTCACAAAATATTTGTTTTCAGGATAGACATTATTCTAAGTCCTATTTATTTTTAAAAATTGAAAATTCCATACTTACAAATGTTAAAGTAATTTGTAATTTTCCAATATTCATATTATCTATATATATTCTATTTGTGCAATAGAAGAAATTTTATTCTTCTTTAGTAAATCTTATTTCTGTCGATTATCCTTTGTCTCTGTGGTCCACAATTCATAAAATGTCTGTAATTAAGTATGAGTACGTTTTATATTAATTATATTATATTATACACATTTAATATTAAGACCAAATGTATTTTTAA